CGGGGCAGGGGGACCCAGAGCAGCAGGTTGGTCCGGGGGTCCCTAGGAGACGGGCGGAGGGGGCTGCGCAACTCCGGCCACGCGCGGGACATCGCGCCGCGTGTCCTTGAGGCAGGACCCGGGCTGCGCGGCGCATCCCCCGTGGGCAGCCCCGCTCCGTGGACCTCCCCGCGCGAAACCCACTCGCGCCAGGGCCCTGGCTGCTAAGATGGCTCCTCGTGCCCCGAGGCGGCAGCGGCTGCAGAGCCCCGGGCATATTTCATGATAAATGTTACTGTTTGCCATGCCGGGCTTATTTTCTTTTCCCCCAGCCTGTTTGAATTCCCTTGGAGCACCGTGTCATTCACAGAGGTGCAAATTTAATCCTAGCAGTGAGGAACGGAGCTCTCCTGCACTGGATGCTCTGCAATAACCTTGACCTTTTATTTCTGCCCAGCCTAAGCGCTAAATCACAGGGCAAGGCGGGCACTGAGCAAGGCACCTGTAAAGCTTTAAGCTTGCGTTAAAATGGCCTCAGAATAACAGAAAACCGGGAGTAGCGAGGGGCTAAAAGACAAAATCCAGAGCCTTCTAGGGATTTCAGGCTGCTGTGCTCCAGATCTGGAGCTAATGCACCCAGCCCCATATCGACCTTACCAAGTGAGCCCCTCTGCACTGCTTAAACTCCTAGTGCCAGAGAGCATAAATTCCCACTGAAAGAAATTGAATCAGCCACAAACCTAAGCAGCTTTTCAGGGAAGTAAGAGAGCAGTGAACCACGTTTCCAGTTGCATTTCTTTGTTCCTCTGTAAGCAATTGCTTTCTGCTACGCGTAGAAGTAATTCAGAGGGCAACTATTATTTATGAGGGTTTAAAATAATAAAAAAGAAAACTGATTCCGTAGAGGAGAAGATGAGACATTTTGCTACACACTGCGACCACTAAAAGGTTAAAGTCAATTCGGAGCTCCCGTTGAAAGTTTTTCTTCAGCAGATAGTGCCTATCAAGATGCTCTTTCTCTTTGCCTCTCACACACTGCGAGCCAGGAGCAGGGCAGTGTTTAGAGGACAATGTAGCCCTGCTCACTCCTCAATATTAAGATTACTATCAACAAAATGATACTTTAGACAGCACATTCGCAGAATTAATTAAAATTTAAATGAAAAGACACATATACAACACACTGCACAACAAAATGTGATACCCTGTGAGCACACAAAGATTTCAGAAACCAGTGCAGAGGTTCTTTTTAGGGTTTAAACCT